AGACTGAATTCACTCACTCACTCACTCATTCTATGACATCGACACACTTGAGTAATGAGTAAATAGAGTACATCAAGAAAATTACATATATTATCACATCCTTTGATATTTCAGCATGGACCAGACAAATCCGAGGTTCATAGGGTGTGAAAAGACTGTCCTTACTACTCCACGTTTGTGAGTGAGTGAGTGAGTGAGTTTAGTTTTACGCCGCTTTTAGCAATATTCCAGCAATATCGCAGGCGGGTGACACCAGAAATGGGCTTCACACATTGTACCCATGTGGGGAATCGAACCCAGGTCTTCGGCGTGATGAGCGAACGCTTTAACCACAAGGCTACCCCGCCGCCCCCCACATTTGTGAAACTTGGATTGGTTGATCAATGATTCAGAAACCAAAGGGGGGTGGGGAAGCCTAGTGGTTAAAACATTCGCTTGTCACACCAAAGACACGGGTACAATGTGTGAAGCCCATTTCTGGTGTCCCCCACAGTGATATTCCTGGAATATTGCTATAAAACGTTGTAAAACCATACTTGCTCACTCACTCAGAAACCCTGATTGAGTCAGCTGACCTTCCAAGTCAACTGTGGCCTACACTGACATCAACTAAGCAGTAGTAACAGTCGTCATCTTAATCCATGGTCGTAAAACGCTGGAAAAACGTCTCTTGAGGCATATATGTGATGAAATCAGTGTATCAAAGACGAGTCCTTAACTATTGACTTGTCTGCAACCTATAGCCTTTGGCCCAGACAGACTTTCAGACAGTATTACACAGACACTGAGCACAAAGTTCACAGTTTTGACTGACTGTGGCCGAGATCTCATTTTGGACAAACCCGGGCGACATCACTTTGAGAACTGATTTAGGTTGAAATCATATTTTTGAATATGTGGAATGATTGAGGCTGAATATTCCATTTAATATGGACCGATTATTTGTTTGTTGTTCAATGCTGCACGCAGCAATATTCCAGCTATATATGCAAATAATCAAGTCTAGGCCAGACAATCAAATGATCAACAGCATGAGCATCAATCTTCGCAGTTGGGATACGATGATTACACAATGCCATTTAGAAAGTGGTTTAGAAACATGTTATATTTGGGATTACACTTTCTTAGTATACCTAAGTATTCTCAAACGCTTACAGAGCCCTAAGAATTCTTAACTTTGATCGTGAGCCAATGTGTTAAGAATGGGCTTAAGAAGTTCGTAGGGCTACGAACGCTTCGAGAATAAGGGCCCTGTACATTATTGTACTTTTGTTGGGATGAGTCACATTTGGGATGCGATGGCAGGCCTCAACCACGTCAACGAGACTAACCACCCAATCCCATAAATCACCTCTTACGAAGCTTGGGTTGCTGAAGATCAATTCTAACCCGGATTTTCACTGGTTGTGGAGGGATTGAGAAGGTCAAGATCACATTTGGGATTGACCAGATCCAAGACCACTTTGCAACCAAATCACATTTGAGATCACCTTCTGGACTGACTATGGCTTGCACCAATTCAGGAGAGCCTAGTTTTAACAAGCATTAGTGAGATCACTTTGTGGTCTGATTAAGGTTTAGATATGGGAGTGAGTATGGTTTTATGCCGTTTTTAGCAATACTTCAGCAATAACGCGCCCGGGAACACAAGAAATGGGCTTCACACGTTGTACATGTGGGGAATCAAACCTGGGTTTTCAGCATTTAGATATGATTAAATAGTGCCCCGTTTAGATATGATTTAGGTTGAATAACGACAGTAGCTCAGAGTGAATGAGATGGGTTTTACACTGATCATTACAAAATTCCACTAATATCACAGTGGAACATCAGAAATGGGCTTCACACATTGTACCGATGAGGGGAATCACTCCCTTTGTCACGGTGAGCGAACGCTTTAACCACTAGACTACCCTGTGGACCATAGGCAACAGTTGGGAGGAACCATTACCTAGCTCACATTGTCAGATGGAGGCTGAAGTTACTGACTGACTACACTGTTAACAATAGTGTCTTGTGGTATTCTCTCAAACCATTTGAAACAGCTTTCAATCATGTAGACTGAAGATTGTGTTCTACAGTTTTGTTCAAAGACTTCAGGAATAAGTCTTGTATGCAATACATACAAATGGAAATTGTGTTTTATAAACCGTACATCAGTGGCGGAGGTACTGCCGGGCCAACATTACTATTAAATATGTCCGAGCATGTTTGAAACTGAATGAATTAAAGAAATGAATTTACAAACAATAGTGCTTACAGAATTACAGACATACTGCATGTTTAAAACATACATATTCATCACAAAACGAGTTTAGAACTAACAATTCATTACGCAAGTTGCAAAAAACATGTTGTATTACAAGATACAGTAACAACAGGATTAACTTGCGTAATTAAATATGAATTTGCTGAAACTATTTCCTGAGACTGTCCGGACGAGAAAATGAACGAAGCTTATGTACCAAACATACCATTTTGATACTAATTTTATGGGACAATTTAAGAGCTTGTCTGATCTATCTGATTATGTTATCTACGGTCATGTGTACAGTAGTGAATCTTGAATGCAATACCAGATTACCTACAGTAATAAGAAAGAATTGGGTGTTTTTCAACTTCTTTTGTGCAATACATATTAATACACAAAAAGTATGTTCAAAACACTGTGATGAGATACAGTATATCAATATATGATGGAAGCAATGGCAGTGATAAATTATGTCGCCATAAAAACCTTTGATTTGACGTCTGCCACTACACCATAATGAACATTAATTACTCATTGAAGGCCAATGTGACATGTTTCATAGGATGGTGTGCCATCAATGTCATCCACTGGAGATTTATGAAGCTCATCATTCTGGTCACAACACCACAAAGACCTGCAGACAACCAACAACCTATCCTACACGCATGTCTGCCATCAGCTAACACAAGGGAAATAAGGTTTAAACATCACGCGCTAATGCTTTAACCATGAGGTTACGACACTGCATGTATGATAATATACAATTATAGACTCTTGTAGAGGTCGATATCGTTTTTTATGGACCTGAGTAAAACAACATTGACCAAGCCTCCATGGTTGATATTGTTTTTCTCAGGTCAATAAAAACCGATATTGACCTCTACAAGAGTCTATAATTGTTTTATTATATAATGAAAGAGAAACGGGTTTTAACATAAACTTTTAATGCACACACTGTGCCATCTATCCGAGTGATCTGATTGGCTGAAAAGCAGGGGAAGCCCCTTCCTATGGGATTCCTTGTCTATTTTTAGTAACCCAAGTCAATATCGTAATTTATCAGAAAATTCAAGTCAATATTGTGTTTTGTAGACAATCACGTGACAGTATTTTGACCAATCGTGGTACAGGGAAAATACTACCTACATAATAATAGATAATCGTTATTTAAATAAAACCAATAACACCTCTGTGTACATTACTTCTATATCATCTCAAGTTGGATATATCATTGCAGTGAATAAGCATCACAATGCTTTGCCTACCATTGTGACATCATCAGTGACATCAGAATCAAATGACATCACAGTTCATCCTGCCACGAAATCTGGTTACCTTAACTTTTTACACTCAAGACACAGGCTGTACCTGTTTACAAATACATAAAGAAGGATGAATGATTTCAGATGTAAAGTAAAATATCACCTTTGTGTCTCTTCCTATCAAACAAATCAACACTCTTCCATAAAAGTTTAAAAAACTCCTCTGCAAGCCTCAGTGTTTTATGCTTTTATTGACCTGTGTTTTATACTTTTATCGATATCTGTGGATATATTTGATATCAGAAGAAACTCAGGCCAGATAATCTGTACAGCTATCTCACAGGGCAGCACACTCCAGGCAACCTTGACCTTGTTTCCTGTGATATCTAACTGACAACTGCTCCATTTGTCAGCCATTATCTCAGGGTATCATCGTTAGTGAGAAAAATGAACCTGTTTGCACTTGAATTTCCATAGAGACTGCCAACTCTTGACACAATTACATGAAATATCCCATCAATCAGGGATGAACAACTGGCCAACAGATCAACTTGGCACAGCAGTTTCCTTACACAACAACACATATAATGCCATAAGGTAAACATGCTTGCACATTGTACCAGCTAACCTGAATAAGCCAGCACCACTGTGAAAAGAAAAGTTGAAATGTTTATCAGATATGGGCACATTACTTTGACCCTAACACTTCAGATCAGACATGTCGTGTATATCCTTTGAGTTCGTAGCTGCAGTATTTGTGATCTCCATTGATATTTGAAACCATTCTACTTGAGATCTTGCATCCATTAATTGTTTGCCACTTGTAATTACTGTTTACCCAAGTAAAGAATTATGTAATTAGGCCTTATAAAGACATAATTCACCACTCATAATGAATTTAGCTAAGAAAAGATGTAATTCACTATTTCTAATGAAGTTAGCTAAGAAAAGATGTAATTCACCACTCATGATGAACTTGACTAAGAAACAATGTAATTCACCTCTCATAATTAACTTAGGTAAGTAAGATATAATTCACCACTCAAAATGACCTTAGCTGAGGAAAGATGTAATTCACCACTCATAATGAACTTAGCTAAGAAAAGATGTAATTCACCACTCATAATGATGTTAGCAAAGAAAAGATGTAATTCACCACTCATAATGAACTTAGTTAAGAAAAGATGTAATTCACCACTCATTATGGACTTAGGTAAATAAAGACATACTTATAATGTACTTACCTAAGTAAAACTTCAATTCACCACTCAAGGTTATTTAGCCAAGTAGCGATATAATTGGAATCTCATTATGTACCTAGCCAAAAATAACAGTTAAGTATTCACAAGGTAATAGTTGAATTTCAATATTGGAAAATAATTTGGCACAACTCCTGAAATATGTTTTAAAAAACATGCTGAGGATCATTTCATTTGAAATAATTGTACGGGTTCCTACACTGCTTGTGACAATGATAAGCAGCTTACCTTCACTGAACATATAGGCTCTCTATCACTGATTCCCAGGTCCAAGTTCTAGTCCCAGTGAGTCTGTAACAGAGAAAATTGTCAAGTCAGCATTTTCCTATATGATGAAGCAATTATCTTAACTTACAACCTTAAAGATAAAAAGCACATATATGAACTTAAAATGGCCACGTGCTGTCTTATTTTCAACTATGTTCAAGTACTCGAGTTAATCATGAGGTTTGACATGCAGACAAGCCCTGTCAATCACAAAACACACCATGCTGAGAATGTACAAAAAATTCAACAGAGCAAAGTCAGCCATTTGTCAAATATTTCTCAAGATTCTTCTTCATGGGTAAAAAGTGTGACACATTTGTTTCCTCCGTACAAATGGAAACCTGACACCCAAACACTGTTGTCATTAGGACTGACGACAGAGTGACAGACACGTTCAGTCTCCAGGCAACAAAAGAAATGGGGATAAAGTACGCTAATTTGCTATTTTTCCTAAATTCAAGAACATTCCTATTATGCACAAAGTTAACTCAACCCATCACATCAGATGAAGGACGTTTCTTCCCTGTGTGACACATTTACACATTTAACTGTGAACTTATACAAGAGTTTAAGGCAACCAGACACAAGGGAGTGCAACCCTAGTCTGTCTCACAGTCCCTGAACCATATTATTTTCCCTACAGCCTAGCCCTCCCTGCAATGCTAAAGTTCTAAATGAAGCAAGTCTAGATTTCTCCAGATTCAGGAATCTCTGGTCTCCCTGGGGCTCCTATTTAATTTAATAGGTTTATTTGTTACTATCAAAATTATATATATATTCAGGGACTAAGCATTAGCCTAGTGCAACCCCAGTAATTCAGGAAGTTATCTTGGGTGTCTGTGGCCAACTATTTAATTAGTGGGTAGACATTTGCCAGTCATTTTCAGGTAATTCCTGAACTAACAATTTAACATCAAACCCATCATGTCTTGTTAATGTTATGTCATAACAACAAAACTGAAACATATAGTACAAGTCAAAGAAGTGAATTGCATTGGACATCACTTTTGTCACTGATGCGACAAATTTTGAAATGTCCTATACACATCGACCATAAAACTTTTTGGAAGCTTTAGTGAGCCTTGAGTGAGTGAGTGAGTGAGTTTAGTTTTACGTCGCACTCAGCAATATCCCAGCTATATGGCAGCGGTCTGTAAACAATCGAGTCTGGACCAGACAATACAGTGATCAACAGCATAAGCATTGATCTGCGCAATTGGGAACCGATGACATGTGTCAACCAAGTCAGCGAAACAGACCACCCGATCCCGTTAGTCGCCTCTTATGACAAGCGTAGTCGCCTTTTATGGCAAGCACATGGGTTGCTGAAGACCTATTCTACCCCGGATCTTCACGGGTCTAGTAAGCCTTGAATGTTGTAACACTGATCAAAGAACTTCTGAGTCAGGCTTTTTAAAATCACTGAAAAAAGAACATACTCAAGAATTGAAAAGTTGCGAAATGTAAACATCAAAGGCTGGATCTGTTAATCTGTAAGCCAAGGAAGTTATAGGAAAGAATATGGTGGTCTGTGACTTTTTTTGAGTACATATCCAAGACCTTCGAATTCGGCACACCCCAGCATGGAGAATAACATATATATAATGGATTCTTTCAAATGCCATGACAATTTCACAGCTATTTGCTGCATAAACTTCCAAAAGTCAATGCAATAACAAACCACTGTGAACCCATGCTCTGCTCGTAGCGACATTTTCAATAACAAAATATCTCCTTCAAACCAGTGATGCTTTTCCTGTGGGACAAAAACATCTCCTGGCAAAAAACAACAACAGTTTACTATTTTCTTTTGTATATCAAGATTATCATTAAATATTTATACCATAGTTGAGTGTTTGACTTTCCTCCACCCAAGTCGCACTGCTCCATTTCCCGTTCACGATAAACATTGCAGGTGAACAGTAATGTCAAAGTGCAAGAAACACATATCACATACTAACACAAGCAGTAAAACTATCTTTCTGAATAACAGAGAGTCATTTAAGTAAACATCTTATCCTGGCTAGACATTAATACCCAACTGGGAGTTTTGATTAGAAAGTTCCAAAAATAAGTATTGGCCAGTAGATATTCTTGCTCCAAGGCTGTACTGAAGGCTAAGTCCATGGATGTATAGTAATTCTATCCTTTAAAGAAGCAAGTCTAGATAAGTGGTCAGGAAGCCAGTCTGTTAGAGGAGTAATTTGGTTTTTTTTAGACGTTATCATTGCAACGATTAATTATTACCTAAGAGACTTGTGCAGTGACTGAGTATGGCTTTACGCCGCTTTTAGCAATGTTCCAGCATTATCGCAGAGGGGGCACCAGAAATGGGCTTCACACATTGTACCTATGTGGGGAATCGAACCTGAGTCTTTGGCGTGACGAGCGAATGCTTTAACCACTAGGCTACCCTACCGCCCCTGCGAGACTTATGCCAGTCCAGCCAGTAGTCAACATAACTTAATGCAGTTGGTTTAATGCTGCTTTGAAGGTATACCATAAATCCTTACATGAACAACAGGTCGTCTATTTTTTTTGTATGACAATGGCTTTTGTTTTAATATCACTTGATGTCAAATATAAGGTATAAGTGATTTTGACATTGGTGTTCAAGGCAGGCGTATATTCATTTGTGTCGTCTGTCTGACCTAGTGCATATCCACACATTAACGGTCCAGTTACAACACATGATAGACTGACTGATTGTTGTTTCAGGTCTTGGAATGGCATATAGGAGTGAGTGATTGAGTGAGTGAGTGAGTGATTGAGTGATTAAGTGAGTGAGTAAGTGAGTAGTGAGTGAGTGAGTGAGTGAGTGAGTGAGTGAGTGAGTGAGTGAGTGAGTGAGTGTTTAATTTTACGCCAAACTTAGCAATAATCCAGCTTTATGGCGGCGGTCTGTATATAATCGAAGTCTGGACCACACAATCCAGTGATCAACAGCATGAGCATCGATGACATGTGTCAACTATGTCAGCGAGCCTGACCACCCAATCCTGTTAAGCATGGGTTACTGAAGGCTCATTCCAACCAAGGCCTTCATGGGTGCAAATAGAAGTGATACACATGAGGAAGAGAGTTTTTATAGATGTCATCTTCTTTATTAGGAGGAACACAACATTTCAGAGTATATCTTATGAGAATATCAACTGAGTAAGGAGTAAGGATATACTCTGAAACGTTGTGCTCCCCATAATAAGAAGTTGGCATCCATAAAAACTCTCTTCTTGATTGTTGTTTAAAGCCACACTCTGCAACATTCCAGCTATATGGCGGCGATCAGTAAACAATCAAGTCTGGACCAGACAATCCAGTGATCAACAGTTACAACACAATGTGTCTGAATTATGTGGGGTGAAAATCCTATGGATGTTGTTAAAGAGTTCACCTTGGTAAAACTGACATGCACAACAAGGAGCAGCTTTAGGGTGTGATCAATCAGCAGCAGATCCTGGCACAGACAAGGGATGCAACTCTGTGTAAAAAATTGCAGCACCTCACATCACTGTACAACCTATAACACTTTGTGATTCACTGAAATCTGCTTTTGAAAAAAAGGCGGCCCAGTAAACAATCCATACTGCATGCAATAACAAGGGAACAGTGATAGAATTACACTTTTTAGACAAAGAAAACAGTGAGTGAGTGAGTTTAGTTTTATGCCACTTCTAGCAATATTCCAGCACAATCACGGTGGGGACACCAGAAATGGGCTTCACATATTGTACCCACATGGTGAATCAAACCTGGGTGTTCAGCATGATGAGAGAACACTTTAACTACTAGACTACCCCACCGCCCCCACTAACAAAATAAATATGCACTGCTAAAAGTATGTGTTTATGTAAAAATGGTCATTTTATACATTTCTATCCTGTACTCATTTCCCGACAAGGCACATTTGATTTTTTTCTGATATACATGTTGAAATAAGTAAAATAGATTGATTATGTAATGACGTGACAACTATTCCAAGGCCAAAGTTATTTAACCACCCATTCAACAGAAACCAGTTTGAAACAGTATATGAGTGTAGGCTTGGTTGAGTAATGAGACTTTCCATCACATTTTTAATATTTCGCATCCTTCAGGAAATGACTTCATCAATCCATGTTTCCCATCTGCAAGTACTGGTGTACAGCTGGACAATATCATGTGTACATGCACTGGAGGCTGTTTTGAACACCTTCCTTGTTCTACAATGAACAGGTGGTGAAATCCCATGTCAAACACAAGCCATATTGTGAATAAATGGTTGTCTGTACTCCAACAGCCACAAAGTCACGTCCATGTTTGATTGAGACCATGAGATCGTGTAAGGCGGCTGGCTGCCATATTTCTGTCTGGAGTATTACCTGTACCTGTGAACGAGGTGGATATAATTCATCAAGTCACTGTGGTAAAAGAAGATTTAAAGATGCAATTTCCGTTTTAGCAATATTCAAATATCCATCTGGAAGAGTCCCATGTGGGGAAGGGGTTCTTCTATTGAGTGAGGTTGGTGCATTCTACATACCAGGGCATGATTGGGCAATATTCTGTCAGAGATGCGAATATACATAGGTCAGGGCATTATGGGACACATACATTGTACCCGATTGATGTCCGGGCATGATTGGGCACATAACCGCCATTGTCAGAAGTGCGATTGGGTACATATTCTAGTCCGGGCATGATTGGGCACATACACTCAGGGCATTATAGGACACATACACTTGTCAAGGTGCTTTCTGGGTACATAGTCCGGGCATGATTGGGCACATACACTCAGGGCATTATGGGACACACACTTGTCAGGGTGCGATTGGGTACATAGTCCCGGGCATGATTGGGCACAGGGCATTATGGGACACATACACTTGTCAGGGTGCGATTAGGTACATAGTCAGGGCATGATTGGGCACATACACTCAGGGCATTATGGGACACACACACATTGTCAGGGTCAGCGATTGGGTACATAGTCAGGGCATGATTGGGCACATACACTCAGGGCATTATGGGACACACACACTTGTCAG